GCCCCCCACCCGCAACCCCTCAGCCCCGCAAAAGCGCCGCCCCATGCGGCTCCGGGCTCGCGACTGCGGTAGCTAGTTCTCAAGCTGCGTGGTGACTGCAGGGTGTGCTGGCTTTGTGACACAGCTGCAGCCTTTTGTGCACTTTATGTATGTCTGTTTCACGAAGGCGGCACCGGAGGGAAAGGGGACAGGAGGACCCCGCCTGTCCCTGCGTGCTGGGAGGACTCTTCCAGGTCCTCAACTGCGACTTCATCTTCGTGGCCCCAGAGCCTGCCTGGGCGGCAGCCCGGGAGGCCTCAGGGGCGGATGGATTAAAGAAACCCGAGACAGGCCCACCCCCCTCGGGCGGGGAAGGCAGGGCATCCCGAGCTGTCCACTGGCTGCCCAGGGGCCGTCCTTCTTGCCCCAGGCCTGGCTCTTGGGGGTTAGACGGCCCCCGTCCAGCCTAGTGGCTCCGTCTGATGCTGGCTCTGAGTGGGTGATGGCGCTGGGATAGGGTTCCCTCCCCTCTGGCCTCTTCAGTTGATCCAGTTGTCCCAGGCCCATTGACAGGCGAGGAGGGCCGAGAAAGGGGCAGGGTCTGGGATAGAAGCCACAGGGGGCGCACCAGGGTGCTGACAGCCTGTCTCTTGGAGGGGGGACCCCACACTCCGCCGCGTCTAGTGGAGGGATGCGAGCTGAGAGGGGCAGGGCTCGGCGGGGCCGCGTGGGCGCGCCCTATGTGCGGCCGGCTCGCGCCCGCCCAGCAGTTGCTCTCTCGGATGCAGCGGGTCGGTAACAGCTTCTCCAACGAGAGCCGGGTGGCATCCCGGAGCCCCAGCGTGGCCCTCGCTGAGCGGAGCCAGGTGGCCACGCTGCCGGTGCGGCTGCTCGGGGACGAGCCGGCAGCTGCACGGGACGATGGCCATGCTGAAGACGGTTTCCAGATGAAGATGGACGCCCACGGCTTCGCCCCGGAGGAACTGATGGTGCGGGTGGATGGCGGATGTCTGATGGTGACCGGCCAGCGGCAGCTGGAGGGCTCCAACCCCGCAAAGGGCAGCTACCGGCTGTCGCAGAAGATGCACCGGCAAATGCGACTCCCGTCCGACCTGGATCCCACCGCCATGACCTGCTGCCTGACCCCCTCGGGTCAGCTGTGGGTCAGGGGCCAGTGTGGGGCGCTGCCTCTTCCCAGAGCCCAAACAGGACCGTCCCCGAGACTCAGGAGCCGTGGCCCTGAGAAGTCCTACGACCTCGCCTAACCCAGTAAACAACCATGGTGTGCAGCAGCCTTGGCGTCCGTCCTTTTCAGGGGTTGGGGTCAGAGGTGAAGGGACTGGAGCTACAGGGAGAAGGAGGCAGGAGAGGCACTCTAAGGTGGTGGCACTTGAGAGCCAGGAGGGGACAGTGGGGCCCTAGCTGGAAGCAGCAGAGGGCCGGGATTGCCCAGAACCAGGAGAGGGCCCAGAGACCACGATGGACAGCTTTGACCCAGCTTGGGGTGTGGTGGTGGACAGGTGGTGAGCAAGGCCAAGCCCATGTTGGAGGCTATGGGCATTCCTTTCTGTTCAGAAAGAGTACAGAGGACCCAGCCTGCACAGGCCAGGCACAGACCAACCCGAACTCCAGAGAGGGCCTGTGTGTTGGAGGCCCATGGTCTCGAGATGCAGCTGCAAGCCACCCCAGGGTGACCTGGACAGTGGGGGAAGGGCAGGGTGGTCAGTCACCCCACCCCTACCCTGGTGGTGCTGCTGACAGCAAGGGCCTTTCTCTTGGTTACCATGACCACCAGTGTCCCCTCCCATTATGGGGCAGCTTTTGTTGAATGAGATTCAGTAGTTCCTTTGAAATCAATTTCAAGTAAACTAGAGGACATGGTCTGATAAGCCCTGCCAGAGAAAGACAAGGAAGACAAGTGTGAGGTCAATCGATCGGCTGACTATATTGACAAGATACTGATTGGTTACATGTTGAAGAAAACATACAATACAAAATACAGAAAAAATTGGTTCCGTCCCCTCCCACTCCCCCCCCATACCCACCCACCCCCAAATACTCATCATCGTGATTTGGTCAGAACAGGGCTCAGAGCCAGAGGTCAGGGTGACTGAGGGTAAGGGGCTGTGGGGCCATGGGCTCGTGGCTGTCACAATGATGTTGTGGAAATGATGTGGCTTCTCTCCCAGCAGGGAGCCGGGGTGGGAGGGGGCTGCAACCCCACAACAGCCAGGGAGGGAAGGGCTGCCGGAGCCTCTCCGAGCCCCAAGGCCTGCCCGCTGCCCCAGCCAGGACCACTTCAGACAGGGGAGGGCGGGGTGCCCCTGCCGAGTCCGCTGTCCAGCAAGAGGGAGAGAGGGCAGCTGCTCCCACGCTCGTCCGCAGGTACAAGGGTGGAGGACAGGAGCATGTGGCTATGACCAGCAGGGAAAAGGTAAGGGAGCACAGAAGGGGAGGAGGTGGGAGAGCAGATCATACATATTAAAAAAGTGACTTAAGACTGAAAACTGAATTAGTATTTGTACAGAAGGTGCAGGTGGAAGAACTCACTCCGGCCTATGATCAAAAGTACACGGAGAAATCACAGGGACCCTCCCTGCCCCCCAGTGGTGGCCCGAGTCGTTAAGTGCGATTGGTTAGAGTGGATTCCAGTCGGGCCGTCAGGCGGAGGAGCCGGGGGCAGCAGCAGGCAGGGCTCAGTTGCTGCAGCACTGGCTCCGGCTGGCTGGGTTGTTCTCCTGCAGGTCCACGCCCCGGTTTCGGCCTGGAGCACCAGCGGCATTCTGGGGCTCGTTCTTGGGAAGCTTCTTAGCTGTATGGGAGAAAAGAAGTGCATTTGTGGGGACCCCAATACTCACTCCTAATCCCACCAGACCAGAATCTGCCCATCACACTCATTAGGATAGCGGACATAGGAGGACTTCAATGTCCCAGGTGCATTCTGAGGGCTTCAGGAAATGGGCAGACAGACAGACAACTTGCCCAGGACCACAACAGCTTGCAAGTGGCAGAGCTGGAATGTGGACCCAGGCAGGATGACTCCAGAGTCAAGTGTGTTAAGAACTCCTAGGGAGCAGGCAAGGGTTGGTGATGGGGGCTCTGAGATGGGGGCCGCCTAAGGGATCAGGGAGGGGAATGATGAGACTTCAATCTAGGACTGAGGAACTTCTAGGTGAACTACACACCAGGAAGCCAGACAAAGAAGAAGGCGATTTCATCAGAATGTTAAAAATGGTGAAAGGAAGCCGGGGTCGGTGGCTCAGCCCGTAATCCCGCGCCTTTGGGAGGCTGAGGTGAGTGGGCTGCCTGAGCCCGCGGGTTCGAGACCCGCCCGGGCAACTTGGCGAGACTTCATCTCCACAGTAAATCAAAAATTAGCCAGATGTGGTAGCGCGCGCCTGTAGTTCCAGCTACTTGGAAGGCTGAGGCGGAAGGATCGCCAGAGCCCAGCAGGTGGAGGCTGCGGTGGCCGGGAGCGGCCACTGCACTCCAATCTGGGTGACAGAGTGAGACTCCAACTCAAAAAAAAAATGGTGAAAGGGCCCACCGTAGAACAACAGGCAGATGCTATGCCCTGGCGCCAGGAGGACAAGAGGAGAGGCACTCACCTATGGCCATGAAAATCTCATTTACGTTCATTGCAGTCTTTGCTGATGTCTCCATGAACAGCAAACTGTTGTCATCTGCATAGGCTTGTGCTTCCTGAATCAGACGGAGGTGAGAAAGAGGGCAAGGGAAATGTTGGCAGGGTCTGGGCCTGGATCAAAACGCTCCCTGCTCACAGTGCCTTATGCACAGCAGAGACCAGCTGGACCAATGCAGGGCCCCTCCGGCTTGAACTCCCGCTCTGGGCCCCCACCCACGCACAGCACCTCTAGTTCACAAACAGCAGCAGATGCTCCTAGGGCCAGTCTGCCTTCTTGCTCTTCAAAATTACTAGCCAGGAAATACTTCTAGAAAGTTCTACAACTAAGCTTGCACATTTGGACAAGGCACAAAGACATACGGATGTTTACTGCAGCCCTGTTTTCAGCCCCTTGCTATTGCAAACAACCTCAAGTCTAGCAATTAGGGGCTGGTCAACAATGAATTACAATATACAGGATGTGTAGCATACTCCATCAGGGTAAGAAAGAGACTCATACATGTGCACATTTCTGGAAAGACAATCTGTGGGGAGCTTGGGGGAGAAGAGGCTGGGTTTCCAGGGTTAGAGGAGACTTACATTTCATTCTCTATACTTTTCGTACTGTTTACCTTTTGCCAAGTGCATGTATTACATGAAAAAAGGATTTCTTTTTCAGTAAGTTTAGTTAAAAAGTCATATTATAAGAACAGTTAACAGAAGCTGCAGCTATCAAGTCACACCTCCGCTCGCCCCACGCTGCCAAAGAAGGAACAAGGGAGAGGCAGTGCCCATTCCTGTGCTCAAGCCATGGGAGGACGCAGAGAGCAACCCCCTGCTGCCTCCTAGCCCCTCCGGCCCCTCCCAGAGCCCAGAAGCAGCCCAGGGGGCTGGGGAGGGCTGGCCGGCTCCTTCCCCAGGTCTGTGCGCCCCCACCTGGAACTCCACAGCTCTCTTGCTGGCCAGGTCCGCCTTGTTCCCTGCGAGTGCAATGACAATGTTGGGGCTGGCCTGCCTCTGCAGCTCCTTCACCCAGTTCTTGGCCCGTGCAAAAGTGTCCTGCGGAGACAGGGCCAGCACATCAACGGGACAGAAGAGGCATAATGCCCAGGGCCACTCGCCAGAGATGCTCCATCTGGCACAGCCAAGGGACCTCAGACATTGCCACCTCAAGATTTTGGTGACACGTCCTCAAACGACGGAGTCTGCCCACACCCCACCCAGGAGCAGAGGGCCAAGGGGCCTGACACCTGGGCTTGGATAACCCAATCCCTGACGCTTTGAGAAGAGGAAGGGCAGGGCAAGAAGGGGAGCTCTTTACTGTGTTCGTGATGTCATAGACCACGATGGCAGCCTGGGCCCCCCGGTAGTACATGGGGGCCAGGCTGTGATACCGCTCCTGTCCAGCTGTGTCCCAGATCTCAAACTTCACTGTTGTGTCGTCCAAGCAGACGGTCTGTGTGAGGAAGGCCGCTGTGGAAGAGAAGGTGCATGAGGCAAGAGTGCATTAGAGGCCGCCCACAAACATCCACAGTTGCTTCTGGGCTCCGGCATGTGGAAGTCCGCCACTGACACGGGCACAAAACGCCATGAATCAGCAGCAAAGCAGACTGAGCAGGGCAGGCAGAGTGTGCATTCTCATGCACGTGTCTGGGGAACAGGGACGGCGTGGGCTTCACAGGGCACCTCGGGCAAGGGCTGGAGAAGGAAGCCCACACGGACTGAGCTGTTGCAGGGACACTCTCTACAGAGGAATGTGGCGGGGGCAGACAGGGAAGCCCAGGGGAAGCCTGACTCCAGGCACGGGAGCAGACCTCCAGGCCTCCTCCTCCTCTTCCTCCTGCTGCCCAGAGAGAACAGTCCGGCTGGAGACCGCTCCTGTCCCTTGGTCGGCTCCAGCCCAGGGTGGTGCTGACCTTCGGCTTCCTGAGGACATTCCCACAAACTTAGCTAGGCTGGGGAAGCACACACTGTTCCCAATGCCAGGCCGAGGCTGGGTGGCTAGCTTCCCAGCCGTCCCTGCCATCTCCAGGCATTCCGGTCAGGCCCTACCCCAGCTCTGGCCCAGACACACTTTTCTGTATGGCTGCTCTGTGGTTCAGCCTTCAGGGAACACAGGGACTCCATCTTAAGGGAGCGCACGCACTCGTGCATGTGCTTCAGAGGAGGCCTAAGAGCTGGAATGACGGCTGAAACCCCTTTGCCCTGGACCCCATGGAACACCATGTGTGTGGAAAGCCGCTTCCCTTGTCGCCCTCCCCCAGCTCACTGAGGGCCCAGGCACTGCCTCACTTCCCCTCTCGGGCTCTGGACCCAAGTGCTGAGGAGGCAGCAGGAAGATGCTGACATGGCCCCTTCTGTTTCCAGCTGCCTGGAGATCTCCTGCTAACTGAGAGAGCGACGAGAACATGACTCAAGGCCAAGGCTGGCCTCAGCCTCGCTGGGCCCGGAGGCAGGAGGCCGAGTCCACACCCTGGCTCACACCCTAAACACTGACTACCAAGCTCAACAACAGGCTCTGAGCTCCAGGAAGGGCAAAGCTGAGCTTCAGAAGCACCAGCCTATCACTCAGCTCCAACTCACCAGGCCACGCCCCCTCCTGGGAAGCAGGAGAGGCCAAAGTACGTGTACTGGCACTGCCCGTTACAGTGGGAAGGACCCTCAGAGACCCAGAGCCAGCCCTACAGCCTCCCCAGCAGGTCAGTGGGATGTCTCAGCCGGGGCCACACAGATAGCAGAGTCACAGAAAGAGGTCACAAAGTCAGTTTCCGACTGCTGCCCTTCCTTCCTAGGAGGCTTGCTGGGACCCCAGCAGGGAGAACAGCTGTTGGGTTCCATCCCAGGGCCCCGATGTGTGTGTCTCTGTGGGCAGGTGCCCCCCCCATGGGGTCTAGGTGCCTCTTTGGCCCCTGAGGCTGCCCGACACCCTGTGCCTGCTCACCTCCAATTGTGCTCTCCTGGTACTCATGAAATTGTCCCTTGACAAAGCGGAGGACGAGGCTGGATTTGCCCACCGCAGACTCCCCCAGCAGAACCAGCTTGAATTGGCAGATCTTGTTCCCAGCGGCCGGTCCGTTGGGTCGTGCTGCGCCTCCCCGACCCGCCATGGCCCGTCCAGTTGCAGTGGTACCAGAGAGCGCAGGCGGGGCCAGTGCTAAGCAAAGAGGCACTTAGTGGGGAGGAGACCTCCGACTGCAGAGGGAACAAGAAGTACTGGGTTGGTTCAGAGACTGGTGACTCCCCCTGGCCTCCCCCACGATCACCCACACTCCCTCACACCCCCGCAACTGCTCCCACTGCCCCCACAGAAAGAGCCTTCCCGGTTACTCCACAACCTTCTGAACAGCAAAGAGGAAGGGGTCCCCAATCTCAGGCTCACAGCTCCGAGCACACAAGGCCTTCCCTGCCCCAAATATACACGTTCACCTGCACATCTGCATACACAGGACAGTAATGGCAGTATGCCATCCTGGGACAGTTAAGTCAACAGGCTTGTGGGCATAAAACCCCCGAAAAACAAAAATGCCCAGGAAGACACTAGGATTTAGGTCAGCAATGAAGGTGAATCTGGAGCTAGGGTCATAGTGCCTGGCTGTGCAGGAGGCCAGGGCGAAACCTCCTCGGGTGAGGTGTCTGTCCAGCTGCGTAGGTACCTGGGACCAGGGCCTGGCAAGTTGTTATCAAGATGGCCACTTTTCTTCTGCCACCTCCAGCAGGATGGGTGGACCCTCTGGTTTAAGCTGGCCAGTGTGCCTCTGGGTTTCGCTCTCTCACCCTGAGTCCCCTCCCCCACATTCCCATTTGTGATGGGCCAGAGTCTCTCACACATTAAAAAACGAAACACACACACCAAAGTCAGGGCTCTACTGGCAGTCAGCACAGTTGCCAACTTTCCCTTTTAAAGAGCGACCTCAGTCCCATTCTCTGCTGGCAGTGGCTGGGATGACGGAGAGAAAGAAGAGGGGGAAGTATGGGAGGGTGGAAGCAACGTGGGACAGTGGGACCTGTATCCGACAGCTGCTGTTCCAATCCCAATATCTGAGTCACCTGTTGGTGATAGCTTCAAATGCCCCAGGTTTTTTTTCTTGTAAGCTTTGGAACTGCAAAGAAGGATGAGGAGCCTATCTCTAGAAGCCTCTAGAAGCCTTACACCAAAAAGCATCAGTACACAGAATGTTTTACAAATGAGCACTGTGAGTAGATATTCAGCACTGAACACTGTTCAGCGTGCAAACCCAGGATGCAAACAAAGGTTTTTTTAGACCACCCTTTCCAGAATGGAGTCTAAGATGCCAGGGAGAGCCTGACCTGCCCCGAGTAAGGGGACAGTTAAGGGACAGCGTGAGAATGAACAGGGGATGTCTGTGGCAAGCAAATGGTCTTAGCTCCCACAAGAAACTCACAGCAAAGGGCTTGCTTTGTTCAACCTCAAATCGTTCTCCACATCCAAGTTCTCCTGGCAACCCATTTGAAAAGTGAGCTTCAGGAAGAATGATTTACTCACAGGAACAACGGCTTCCTTTCTGGACAGCACCAAAGGGAAAAAGCTTTGAAATGGGGCCCACCTCTTCCCCAAAAGTACAAGGAAGGAAGCATGGGGGGGGGGGCGGGGCTCAATTAGTAACCAGAAATGCCACGTAAATATTTCACAGTGAAAGATGCTTTCTCACTTTGCTCCAGTCAGTGCTGGGCAAGGTCTGTCTTTTGCTTCCTTATGAGGCTTCCTCACATGCCTGTGTACATGCCAGGAGCTCAAGAGTGCTTACCCATGGAATCATTTTTTTTTTTTTTTTTTTTT